TTCCAGCTCTATACATTCACTCAATACCAAATTTAGTAACACTTAGTAATTGTCTTTTAATTTTAGTAATCATTTGCAAAACCGTTCCTTATCTCAATCCTAAAAACCAACAGTTATCGCAACATAAAATTTTACGTTTTCAACTCTATCCCTTCACCAAATTCGGTAACACTTAGTATTTTTCGAACAATTCCAAAACAACCTCCATATCTCAACTCCAAATACCAAGAGAACCCCAAATCATTTTTGGTGAGAATTTTCCAGAAAAAAAGTTATTCGTGATAGAATGCAAGCGTGATGATGTGATTTCTTTATATCTGGCTGAAAAACCACAAGTGGCTATCGTTAGATCACTCCAGCATTTAAATGTGAATAAATCTTTTGTGTCTCGTACCATCGCTTGTTACCGACGTCAAGGAAGTGGACGGAAGAAAACAGCAACATCAGCAGAAATTGTTCGAAAATAAAGAAGCGAATTGATCGAAACCCGCGTCGCAGTAACCGAAAAATGGCTCGTGAGCTGAACATATCGCAATATTCCATTCGGCAAACATTGAAAAATGAACTTGAGCTAAAGCCATTGAAATTCCAAAAAGTGCAAAAACTTACACTGCAACAGAAAGAAAATAGACTCAAAAGAGCTAAAGAGTTGCTTCGCTTGGCCGAAAGTGCTAAACGGCCGAATTTGGTTTTCTCCTTTGAGAAAACATTCGTTGTGCAGCAGTTTGTAAACAAACAAGATGATCATGGTGACTTGCCAAAGAGGTCAGCTGAAAATGTGCACCTTCGGTTGACCACCAGAACTCAAGCGCCGGCCATGGTGATGGTTTGGGCCGCCATAAAAGCCGATGGTTGCTCTACGCTTGTATTAATCGACCGTGGCATCAGAATAGATGCCGATTATTATCGAGAAAATTTTCTGGAGGGTGTATTAAAGCCTTGGGCTTGCAAACATTTTGCCCGTAGACCTTGGACATTCCAACAGGACTCAGCACCATCGCACTCAGCACGCGCCACCCAATTATGGTTACAAAATGAGGTTCCTCGCTTCATTTCCAGCGCACAATGGCCATCAAAATCTCCTGATACCAATCCATTGGACTATTGTGTCTGGAGTATTTTGGAAAGCAATGTTGGCACTAAAAAATACCAAAGTGTCGATAACCTCAAGCAAGGGCTTCGCCGGGAATGTGCCAAAATACCGCAGAACAAGATTCTGGCAGCGTGTGACGGTTTCATTGGCAATTTGAAGGCCATAACTCGTGCCAAAGATGACCAATTCGAACAATTCAAAACTTATTCTAAAAGTTAATGCTCTTTTTGCCATGTTTGCTTTCATTCAATAAAATTAAAAAAAAAAAAAAAAACAGTAAAGAAAGTCCTAAAGTCGGGCGAGGCCGACTTTATGATACCCTACACCACTTTGCTAATTTAGTTGAGCTCCACTTAATAATAAAAAGTTTTTATGGGAGAATTCAATCATACTCATAGCGTGGTTATAACTATAATTTAAAATTCAAAGGACTAAATATGCCGAAGCATTTGTATCTTTTAAATTCGGACTTTTATTGCCCATTTGGTGCGAAATTAATTTGAAATCGGATAAAAATATATATATGGGAACTATATCCAAATCTGAACCGATCTCGATAAAATTGTGCAAAGATATTTCTGGGCTGTATTTGATATATTTCCCTGAATATCGTTGTTACGGTGTGCATATTACGGCTGTGGGTAACAAATACAATAAATCGGATGAACAATATATATGGGAGCTATAACTATATCTGAACCGATCTTCACCAAATTTGGCATACTACCTTCTAGACTAAATTCGGTCGTATGTGCCATCCCATTTGGACAAATATTAGAAGTTTGGTGCACAATAAATGGTAAATCGGACGAAGTTATATATGGGAGCTATATCCAAATCTGAACCGATCTCGATAAAATTTAGCAAAGGTATTTCTGAGCTGCATTTGATATATTTCCCCAAATACTGTTGTTATAGAGTGCATATTACGGCTGCGGAGGACAAAAATAACAAATCGGATGAACAATATATATGGGAGCTATAGCTTTATCTGAACCGATTTCGATAAAATTTGGCATACTTATTTTAAGGCCTAATTTGGTTGTATGTGAAAAATTCCATACTATTCGGGCTGACATTACACGTTTGGTGCACAATAAAAGGCAAATCGGACGAAGAGATATATGGGAGCTGTATCTAAATTTTTACCGATTATCTCCAATTTCAATAGGGTTCGTCCTTGGGCCAAACAAATGTTGTTTGCAAAATTTCATCTCAATCGGATAATAAATGCGACCTGCATTTTGTTCACAAGAATACATGGACAGACGGACGGACGGACTGACATGCATAAATCAACTCTGAATGTGATTCTATGCAGATCATCAAAAGGAACTATGGATCTATCTCGTTTCCTTTTGCCTGTTACAAACAAATGCACAAAGACATAATACCCTGACCACCTTGTGGTGTAGGGTATAAAAAATGTAAAAATTAAGCCGTTAGACTTTGTTGCAGTTTTGTTCATCTCAACGTAAATTCTAATTCGATTTAGCCATGTCCTTCCTCCTGTTGTAATCATGCTATCTTCCGAAGGAATTAAGATAGAAAATTGAAATTTGGCGCACATGTGTTTTGGGCCTGAACTTTCCTGAACCTGAACTGTGTTTTGGACCTGAACATTTATCTGCAGAATTTTTTCCATTTTGGAATTTGGTGTTCGCAGTGAGATCTGCTTCATAGGACAGAAAATTGTCAACACAAAAATGTAAGTCCGCGTGTAGCCCCCATATAATAATACCTTCCAATATTCGGTATTTTGATGTTTAAGAAATCGTATTTGAATATTGTCTAGATCTATATATGTCAATAAAACGATAATTCCATATTTTCGGCATTTTTATGTTCTTAGTAGTATTTTTCAACGGAATTTTTTTTAAATTTTACAAATTTATTTTTTATGTTGTGGGTGGTATTCAAAGTTCGGCACGGTCGAGCTGACTGTTTTATTATTTAAATAAAGATCCAACAAAAAGATATGTGCTAACGATTTTGCATTTCTCAGAGTCTCATTTTTTTAGAACTATATTTTCGAATGCTCTAAAGATTTCTCTACATTTTCCTCGACCACATTTCGACTTCTACGTAAATCCATCAAACCGATTTAAACTAGTTCTATTAACGCCTGAAGCATCAATAACATTTTAATTTATTTTTATTCTCAACTACAAACAAATATTGCATTATTTATAAGTGTGCCGGTGAAACAAGTATGGCAAGAAGAAGATGAAACATGTACAACGTGTAATCATGCTAATAAAAATGCAAATAAAAGTGGCAGCAGCAGGAACAGCAACAGGTGACAATAGTCAATCGATAACTGCCAGACGCTGAGCTATTTAGATTGAAACAACTTGAACGATAGTCTTCATTCATTAGAATATTATCCCCATATGGATTGGGTGGTATTTATTGTTAAGTTTGGGGTGGGCATGGCGGTGTCCACCGGTGGGACAGATGTTGTTGCCAAATGCACAGCGCGTGTACATCGGAATTATAAGTAATATTTTCAATTGCCTAACAATTAGCTTTATTCTTGTTCGGTGAATATGTCTCAGGTGGTTGGTCGTTTGGGGTGTGTGTTTTTGCTGTTTAGCAATTGTTTACATTTACGGAGTAAACAAATTATTGTTTGTTTTTGTTGCTCGCCTTATAAATCATCTAAATACTAGTTGGCTAGCACAGGTGGGAATTTTATTATTATTATTAAAATCTGAGATACATTCTTTCAAAATTAGTATTTTAATGGAATTGATTTAAATATTGGTGACTTAATGCCGCACGTAATGGAGGTGGAATTTTGTGTACCACAATCAAGAGGATATTATATAAAGGTTTTTTTTGGAAATCCATATTTGCAAATTCAGATATTAATAGAAAGAAGTAGAAATACGTTTGGATCGAATTTTTTAGACGCTGTTATAGACAAAGACTTGTTTGGAAAAACAACCAAATGAAAAAAAAAAAAAACATTAAGAAAAATTAGAGTACTGGGAAGTTCCACTTTTTGACAAAAAAACCGTAAACGTATAGGTAAAGTATAGGTACCCTATACCAGATGTGTATTTAGAAGAGCTCCCATAACAGATATACCGGACCAAGTTTCACCAAATGCACAAATTCGGTTGAATTTTGAAAAAATCTCTCCAACTTGGGCTTATATTACATATATGGTGAATAATAACCGTGAAATCGGATGAAGATGCATATCGAAGGTATATAAAAACTGAACCGATGTCTATACATTTTGGCACAGGTATTTTTGAGAAATATTTGATATATCTGAACCGAGATATGATATATTTGAACCGATTTTCTCCAAATTTGAAGTACTTGTTTCTAGGACGAATTTGGTTGGAATTTCCAAAATTCAGTCCATTTGAACTGATAATAGCCATTTGGTGCACAATAAACCTGATATCTGATAATGATATATATGGGAGCTCGATAAAATTTGACAGAGGTATTTTTGAGTTTCATAAGTTATTTGGTACAAAATGTTGTTCTTGTGGAGTGCATATGAGGGGCATAAAACCCCAAATCGTAGGAAACATATGTATGGAAGCTCGAACTATATCTGAACCGAATTTTCTCCAAATTTGAAGAACTTATTTCTAGACTGAATGTTGAAACACATCCTATTTGGACGAATATTACACATTTCACTTGATATGAACAATTTAACCTCTATATTGATTTCAATTCAATTTCATGCTGATCTCCGAACATATGCACTTTATGTGGTTTGCGACGAGTATTTCGAAGTGAAACAAATGAAATAAAAATATTGAAAATCTTGTCCCTATTGTTTGTATATAGGACTTTTTTTACTTAAATTTGAGTTTTACTTAAAAAAAATAAACCATTAAAAATAATTCGAGTTTTAATAAGTTTTTTTCCTACTTACCATTGAAAAAATGCCGGATACCACCCAAACAATGAGAGCCAAATTTACACTGCCGGTATACATGAGGACACCCGTGGGCGATACGAAAATACCCGAACCGATAATGGATCCAACAATAACGGTACACCCATTGATAAGGCTCATTTTGGTCTTCAGTGTCACTTCACCGCCCCCATCGGCTTCCACCTTTGGTGCAGCTTCACCATTTCCATTTACAACGGAACTTTTCCGCGATGAATTTTTCCGATTTAATGATTCAGTCTCCATGATGATGATAACAGTGGTGTGGCGTGGTTTACCTCACTGACGACTCACCGACTGACCACGCAGCAATTAATGTTAATTAATAGGTACTTGCACGCTTATGTTCGTACCGGGCTATTGTTTATTTTTTTTTTGGTTCTGAAAATAGACAGAAAGAGGAAGAAATTAAATGGTGAAATGATTAGCTTTGCAAGAGTGAGATGTTCGGTGAGATGCTCTTGAGTAAGATATTCAAAAAAAAAAAAAAAAAAAAAAAAAAAACCGTTTTAGAATAAACATATTTGTGTTGTGTTTACTTTTCAAATTAGTATTTAGGAATAAATAGACGTAATATGGTGAAAATTGCACAGTGTTTTGGAGTCGAAAAAATAGGTTATACATTTTTTTAAATTATTTATAAATAATAAAGTAAGTAAGTAAGACTATAGCCTTAGTCGTGCGGTACCGACCATGTGATACCCTACAACATTACAATATATTAGAAACCCCCTTATGTCCCCTTGGAACATTTCGCTTTTGAAATGATGTCACGGAACACTGCCTACATATTACCCTTAGCATTTTGACCAGGAAAATTTGCCCAATATTTACGCACTTGTTAGTTGTTGTGGTCCATTTTAAAGCTAAATATAATTCAATGGTCATCCAAAATGCTAGAATTCTTCCCTGTCCTTAACTCTCTTCTCAGGCGTGTTTATTGGCTTCAACTGTTGGATCAGGATATTTTTTCTATTTTTGGTTCATTTGAACCCATAAATATTTTGCGATCATCTCCAAAAGTAAGAGTTCTCTCTGTATTCCAAATTTACACTCATCTATAAGATTTGCTTGTCTACGATATTTGGCTATATTCGTCAACGAAAACAGCATAAAAAAGCCAGAAGTTCGCATTTTGTGTACTTCGGATATCGCCCGTAAGTAATGTTGGTATTTTTTCACACAAAAATAGTGCTCCATTCCACCCGCCGTCCTTAACTCTAACTTCATGCGAGATTTCGTGTCCTTTGGTTTCCATTTATGACCTTTATAACGGCTGCAAAATCAGGAAAGTTTTTAGTTGTTGATCCATTTCAACCCCCCAATATATTGCGGACATCTTTAAAAACAATAGGCCCAGCCCTTCTCAGCCTTACCCTACCCTTGTGACAATTTTCGTGATAATCGGACGATAATGGCAATCTGTATATAATAGCTCCCACCTGTATTGCGAGGTGAAAAAATATTACAAAATGTACACCGCAATATTATAAGTCAAATTGAAAAAATCGCATGCGATAAAAAATATGAAAAAATAAACAAATGTCACAAAATACTACAAAATCTATATTAACATCATTATTGGCATCTTTTTATCCAATTTTAGATTTTATTCTTTTATGCCAGGAGGGCATTCAGAATTGATACAATTTGTCAAAATCGGTACAGCCATTCTTGAGATATAAGCATTTTCGTTAACATCCCCTTCCTTTGTTTATACACATTGTATATATTTCGCTATATATATCCGATATATTTACTATCGGCATCTACGTAACGGTCAGAATTGACCTGTTCGTCTATTTGTGATTTCGCCGGGACTAAAAATATTCGCGGTTTAATGGAAGATTTGACTTTTAATTTAACACAAATGTTATAGCCTATTTCACCCACTAAATATTACCCAATGACCATCAAAATTGGAAGGCTTCGGGCCAGCCCTAAGCTCTAGCCCTATGCTAATTTCGATTCGTCGATTGGTCCATAATTGCGACCTGTAGAGCAACTGCAAAATCAGGATTTTTTCAGTTTTTGGTCAATTTCGACCCCTATATATTATGCGATCATCTCCAAACGGAATAGGGTTCTATTCTGACCTTCTAAATTTCGAATTTCGAGGTGTTACATAATTTTTGGTCCAATCAAACTTATAATACCCCCAACACAAAGTGTTGTAGGGTATAAATATTGCTTTGCTACGGGAGCTACAAGAATCTACTAGTTTTGCCATTTTTTTTCAATACCATCAAGGAAAAATCACTAATCGTTGTGAAAACTTTTACATTCTAGTAGTTCCAATAATTCGTATGCTTATGATTTTTGTTTTTACATTTATTAATTTTTTATCTTTTTTTCCATACTTATGTAAATTATACTTCGTATCTTTTACTGCAAATAAATAAGTTAATCCCAACTGTTCAAGTCGAGTTTAATGTCAATGTCAGTTGATTAATTCTATAAACAGAGCAAAAACAACAGCTCAAATCTGCTCTAGTTTCTATATTTGTACAAATGTTATTGTGATAACAATAATCAAATGACTCAGCCAATGTTGGATTATTTAAATATTTGGTATTTGTTGGACATAATGGGTTCTGGCTGCGGTGGCGAAACATTGTATGTATAGGTCCACGTTTTTGTATAGCCCCATATAACGGTACCTCCAGATAATCGGTATTTTGACGATTGTTGTCACATCTCTTCGCTGATTTGTCTAAAAATTGGTATTTTTGTGTCCTAATGGGTTCTAGATCCGTTGCCGAAATATTGTATGTATATGTTCACGTTTTTGTTTTGCTTTCTTTGAAAGTTTTGTTTTTCAAAATCGTCAACTCTTTGTGGGAGAGGTACCAGAAAAAATGCTCTACAATCTTTAAAACAGATCTTGTGTTGACGGAAATATTCAGATGCACCAATTCTGGTTGGAATCGGATATTAATTTCGCGTTTTTATGAGCTAAAAGGATATTGAAAATGTTTAACCTTTGTGGGAGACCTATATATTCCATCTTCACAGCAGATATTTTTTTTGTAGAAGTATTGAGATGTGTGACATTCAAGGATAATCAGGTGCTTATTTCACGTTTTACGAGCATCATGGCTATTTAAAATTCTACTAGAAGGAGTGGACCGATATATTCTATCTTTACGGCAGATCTTGTGATAGTGGAAATAATGGGATGTGCAAAATATAAAGAGAACCGGATACTTATTTCGGATTTTATAATCGCTTATGATATTAAAAATTTTGACCCTTTGAGGGGGAGGTACCAGAAGAAGGAGACCGACATATTCCATCTTCACACCAGACCTTGGTTTCATATAAGTATTGTGGTGTGTGTAATTTGAAGAAAATCGGACTCTTAGATCTTTTGCAAATATTGGGATTCGCAAAGTTGGGGCAAAATCCGACCATCCTTTCCCTTTCTGGGCAGCAAAATATTTTCTTTGAAAATTTCGACATTTTGTGGGGGAGGTACCAGACTAGCAGTGGACTGATATTGCCCATCTCCGAACTCGATTTAAGTTTGACAAAAATATTATGGTTTACCCTTTGAGAGTGCAAACCATCCGGACAAACAGACATCGCTAAACCCACTCCAAACGGATTTGGTCCAAAGATACCTAGGGCCTAAAACCATTATTTGGACTAGGTACGTTTTCGCCTTTTTAAATGATTATATATTAGAGAAGGTATATATTGTTGAGGGTATAACTAGAAAAATGATGATAAACAAATTGTAAACAGGATTTTGGCATGCTTGTCGGACTATTTTATGCCCTACCAAATAAATAAATAATTAAATTGTAAAAATAATACTTCTAAATTTACAAGTACCCTTCTTCAGCAAAAAGTCCACCTTAAAATTTTAGATTTGTTTCAGCAGTTCGTGTTAGTCCTTTTTAGGACTCAAAGAGTACAATTTTTCGGAAAGATTAATTGAAAAATAATTAGCTTTTATATCAAAAAGTCTTCAAAATCTTTCATTTTGAAGTTAACCGAGAAGAATATTAGTAAAACCATTGCAAGATGGATCCACATTTAATTTTTTATCATAATCTATTTCAATATATCCATATGTAAACCCTACAAACCAACATATCGACCTCAATATCAAAATTCGGAGTTTCAGCCCTATCCTTTCACTCCAAAGAAAATGTAGTATTTGTATCTTATGGTTATATATGCCAAATACCATCGTATTTAGATTAATATTACACATTTGGTGAAAATAAAAGACAGATTGGGCGAAGATATATATGGAAGCATTATCTAAATTTTGACCTATTATCTCCAATATCAAACAAATATTTTGTGCACTGTTTCATCTTAATCGGACAATAAATGCGACCTGTACATTGTTTACAAAAATACATGGACAGACAAACATGCATAAATCGACTCAGAATGTGATTGCTTTTGATGAACTATGGGTCTAACTCTAATATTTAATGTTCTAATAATTGGCTGGAAAACCACAAGTGGCTATCGTTAGAGAACTCCAGCATTTAAATGTGAATAAATCTTTAGTGTCTCGTACCATCGCTCGTTACCGCGATACAGGTAGCGTAGCCCGACGTCAAGGAAGTGGACGGAAGAAAACAGCAACATCAGCAGAAATGGTTCGAAAAGGAAAAAAGCGACTTGATCGAAACGTCGCAGTAGCCGAAAAAAGGGTCGTGAGCTGAACATAAAGTAATATTCCATTCGGCAAATATTGAAAAATGAGCTCGGGGTAAAGCCATAGAAATTCCAAAAACTGCAAGAACGTACACTTCAACAGAAAGAAAATAGACTCAAAAGAGCTAAAGATTTGCTTCGTTTGGCCGAAAGTGGTGAACTGTGGAATTAGGTTTTCTACGATGAGAAAACTTTCGTTGTCCAGCAGTTTGCAAACAATCAAAATGATCGTGTTTACTTGCCAAAGAGGTCAGCTGAAAATTTGCATTTTCAGTTGGCCACCAGAACTCAAGCGCCGGCCATGAAGCATTTCACTTCACTTCTTAACACGCCACAGCTTCAAGCATGACCAGCAATTTTTTATTTGAAAACATTAATATCGAGTTCTTTTGGCAAAACCACAAGAAATATTTGCTATAAAATAACACAATAATTAAAGTAACAACCTTATGACCCCCTTTAGTTTATGGTTTAGAAATTTTCAAACTCATATAAAAGAAAAAATAAAAAAATATTCTAATTTAAGAACTTATAGCTGAGTTTATTAACCTTTGAATACAAATGTAGCCACACAGGTGGTCAAGTACGTGTTTTTTTTTGGGGGGATGGCAACAGACTTCTTTTGGTCATAATGAAATGTTTGAGGTACCGGCATTTCATCGGTCAATACATAATGTTGTAGATTTATGTTAATTTATTCA